TGTACATCAGAAAATGCGCCTTGAGGCATGGAACATATGTACCAAATATGCCAAAGATGTCTACAAAATTATCTCAGTTATTATTAAAAAACTGATTATTTTTGAAAACTTTGCCACCCTGTATCTCAAAAGTTAATGCGTTTAGGACAAACGTCCATAGGACGTTTTTTCCTTAAAATGGGTCTAAGAATTACCTCCTTAAATATTAGCATGTGTTTAAGGAAACCCTGTATACTTTATTGTCCAAAGATTTGCATCTTATTGACAAAATCTAAGAAATACAATGTAGATATAGTAAAAGTTCTAAATGTATAAATGTAAATATAAAAAAACTTCTAAAAATGTATAGATAAAACGCCACCATGTATAAAGTGATAGTACAAAGAATAAACTGATAATTTATTGTTGAAAGGATTTGCTAAAATACTCTTCCAAACTATAATAGGGCCTATCAACAAGTAGGTTCTTCACCGCCTTTTTGAAATGAATGTTGCTTAGATTTGCAGATCTCATTCTTAACGGTAAATTATTAAACAACTTACCACCATTATAGTATATGGAATCTTTGATTAAATTCGAAGTTGGGATGGGAAGTCTAAAGGTATAATTGCTATTACGAGTAGCATAAAGAGTACAAGCAAAGTTGAACTTCGATTTATGTTTATAAATAAGGCATACCGTCTCTAGGATAAAAAGTGTGATGACTGTTAACATTTTATTGGCAGTGAACAAATTCTTGCACGATTCTCTGGGTTTGACTTTACAGAGACATCTTAGAGCCCTCTTCTGTAATATCAATAAAGAAGAGAGAAGGGATGAGTTGCATGCTTCTCAAAAAGGTATTCTATAACGTAGTCGAGATTCAATAAGTGCATGGTAAATTGTTTTTGCGACATGGAAACACAACTCATTTGAAACCACTCTAACTGCATCACATCCGGAGGAGATCTTACTCTTGAGTTGTTTGAGGTGTTCATCAAATTTCAGCCTTTTATTAATGAATACACCGAGAAACTTTGTGTTTAATTTATTTTTTAATATATCAGCGTCTATTGAAATTTCATCAAGCGAACATTTGAATGATATTATATTCGTTTTGGATGCATTGAGAGACAGTAAATTTGCATCGCACCAACTCATCACCTTCTTCAAGTCGGATGATATTATTTTATTTAGCTCCATTGAGTTTTTTTCTTTCCACAATATTGTAGTATCATCCGCGAATAGAGTGAAACTACCAGATACGTTAATCATAGATATGTCATTCATATATAGCAGAAACAGAATAGGGCCTAACACAGAACCCTGTGGTACACCAGATTCAATGGCCCTGTTCTCCGAGAGTTCCATTGTCCTCACCATTTGACTCCAACCTGAAAGGTACGATTTGAACCAAGTGTTCGTTACACCTCTACATCCATATTTTTGGAGTTTTTTAAATAAAATTTTATGATTGACGCAATCAAAACGCCTTTGAAATATCGCAAAAAATTGCGGCGGCTACTTTACCAACATTCAATTCAGAGTAAATTTCATATAAAAAAGAGTCAATAGCATTATTTGTAACTTTTTTCGCTTGATACCCGAACTGGTTTTTGCTTATAATACAGTGCAGTTTTAAGAATTCATCTAAACATACTTTGCCTGATTTCTCAATAATTTTTGCTGAAGTCGGTATTAAGGAAATAAGACGCAGATTGGAGGGATTATCTAAATCACCACCTTTGTGTAGAGTGGAATGACAACGGAAGTCTTCAGGAAAGAAGGAAATGAGCCAGTTCTGAATTTTTTCAAGTTTCAACTCAAAAAGTCCGACTTTTATCTCAAAATTATATTTTCCCAAATTTCACGTAGGCAATTCTGACTGGAATCTCAGAATTTTATAATTCTGACTTTAAAGTGTCACTATTTTCCGGTTTTGAAGGCCGTGGAGAAATTCCAAAGATCCACGGCCTTTAAACCCGAAAAATAGTGACAATGAAAACCTCAGCAGGGTTTTGTTTGACACTAGGCTATAATATATAATATGATGCTTAGATGAACTCAAAGTGCAATATTTTTTTGGGTTTAAAAATTCCTTTTTTTATATTATGTGAATTAGTCTCAGTAGCAGCTTGCTGAGTTTAATAAATGACAAAGTTCTTGGAAAGAAGGTATAATACATAGGTTTAATCTATTTTTAATGCTCAATTCAAAAACTGATTGAAAAGCATCATATCCTGAAGTAGATATCAGTGATCCGGCATTAGGATTTGAAATTCGAGTGCATGTTCTAATTGGGAAGAGTAACAAAAATATTTTCAACTCTCTGTAAAGAGACGCCAGTTTCCTAACTACATCTAGGGGTTCTAGAATCTTTGGTTTCTGGATTCAGTATACTACCATGTATCATTAAATCATTATTTCCTAAGCTAAGTGTGTTTAGATAAACAACTTTGGAACAAGATATCTATAGCAGGATAAAGTATAATTGTGATATACCCGACCTACTTACTCGCCAAGGTGTGGATGATTTTGTGAGATTTCCAGTCACTCTTGAAACATTCTTGTGAACAGAAGAATGATCCTTGTATTCCCAATTTGATACAGGTAGGGCATTGTAACTTTGCTGGTTTAGAGCATCCAGTGGATTCGCAAACACCCAAACTTGACATTTTTTTTAATGGATTAAATTTGGAAATAATAGGTTAACGTGAAATCTTCTTATTTATTAATCGACTGAAGTTAGCGACGGGCGCCAGAGCCCAAATCTAGCGTCCACCCCCTACCACAGTAGAAAGGGCCTTAGCTTTCTACTGTACCCCTATCAGTGAGACCGATTTACACCACACATATAACGGACTGGTATTATGAAGATGGCCAAATGATTTTCACTGAACAGTTTTACAAAAATGCAAATATTGTTTCGCTATAAATAGCTTCTTCTGGTGTGTCTATATTAACTATACACAATGTCAAAATCCGTTATAAATACCCGTTTTCAGTATATGGATGAACACCATTTTTGGCACTGATGCCCGAAGAAGCTATTGTATAGCGAAACACATGTTGCGTTTATGTGGAACTGTTTACAGTACAGCAGTGCCTCTGAGATGTGCGAACGATAAAGAGAGATGATAACTGTCCACTAACTTGCATCAGGGAATACAATAGGGAAAATGGCTTGCATGATATCTAAATGGGAACGGAAACTCCTATTCTTCCTTTTGTGCAGATGGAAAATAGTTGAGAGGGTATTGAGTGATATATAATTGTTAATGGTGGTGTCTGGAATTTGGATCTAGACTAGTCTAGGTTCTAAACCATCTTCTTACCATCTTCATCGTCTGAAACGTCATCCCATGATTACATAGGCGCTTTAAGAGCAGTGCCGGTGCGAAAGTAGCGAGACACATTGGATTTGAATCGCTGAAGATTATATTCATTTGGAAAAACGTTCTCAGGAAGTTTATCCCACATAAACGCAGTTTTCCAAATGAAAGAGCTCCTATAGAGTGGAGTTCGAGCTGTACTTAGTTAATCACTAAAAGGTGAGCAGCCATAGTACGTCGCGTATTTCTAATATGTACCGCTCTTTGTGAAATCAAATGTGCAAAGTCACTTGAATACTTCCCATGAAAGTATTTATAAAACAGAGACGAATCTTCAACCTTCAGTGATTTTTTGAACACTCTCGAATTTAAAAAATCACCAAAAGTTTCTTATTGGCTAAAGTTTGTTATACATTACAAGAATATTTCGATAATTGAGTTTTTTGTGGATATCTGTGTGTAAATAATCTTAAAATAATTTTAATTTTTCATTTTTACACTTCTACGTTTCTATGTCTTTACATTTTTATTTATACTACATACTATGAGTATGATTATGTGTATATAATGGCCATTTACATGTTCGTTTGTTTATATATTCATTATGCACTAACAGTTCAATTGTATATTAACCTTTGTTTTTCTTTATCATGTCAACTTTGGATAATCATTTTATTAGGTATAATTTGACACGTTCTCTATACCATGTAGTCGATCTATGAATGAATACATTTCTTTCTTTCAACCTTTCTCCGATGTTCCAAACTACCAAGGTTGCAAGTGACGTTTCTACCATTTGAAATGAGGAAAGATACAACAGCGTTGAATTTTTTCCTCAATTCTCACTGGTTTTGACGTTTGGATTGTTTTAAGAAGTCGGCAAAAATCTCAGATATTATTAATTCATTGCCCGTATATATAACAATATCATATGAAGTACCCATGTATCCCTGCCAGAAAATATTAAAATCTTCGGTATCTTTGTGTTTCGTGAGTTTTATCAGATGAACTTAAACATTTTATATCAACTTTTTTCGCCATCGGTAACGATGCCAACAATTGAATTAGTCGGTTTCAACCAATCAGTTTCAGTACCTCAATGAATTGGAAAACGACAATTCTTGGTTATCATATTAAAATAATGGGATAGATCTTTCCCGCCAATTAGAAATTTGTATTTGAACCAATCAGAACTTTTTCCGATCGTCGTATCATCGGATGACGGTTGTGTGGAAATCCAGCCTTATCCTTTCAAAACAAAATCAAAACGGAAGATGATGGAATGACATAATTTGAAATTATTCATCGAAACAGAAGTGAATGTGAATTCAAGTTGCATTGCACTGAAGTTTATAAGTCACATTCACAATTAGGAATGTGTCTTAAGCTGACAGAATGTAGGTACTGAAACCAAATTTGGAGACGTTCCTTTATTTTTCCTAAGAAATAAATCGGTGAACGCCCAAACATGGATCGTCTTTCACCCCTGGAAAATATTTTTAGTGTTATTGGTAGTTTACCACAAGGCCACGACAAACCAGTGAAACATGCAATATATAATGCAGTTGCCCTTTTTGTATTATTTTTGTGTTGTGGAGCTGGGTATGCTGTCTACATGATTCTGGAACCATTCATCAAACCTCTGATTTGGGCAGTTTTAGTTGGGTCTGCACTCCATCCTCTGAAAAGATCACTACGATATAGATTTCAAACGTGGTTTGAAACTCTAGAATCTACAAATACTCCTATGGTATTCGGTATTGTTCTACTTCCCATTAATATTGTTGATAGTATATCAGAGATTCTTTGTGAAAATATGTGGAAGAGGTTGAAAGTTATATTTGTATCTGTAAGTGTACTTATAATTATGAATGTAATGTATCATTACACTCCAAAATGTATTATATCAATAATTTGGCAGTTGATTTTAAACACGAACAGTTGTCTGAAGTTCTTCCTAGATAGCTCATCATTAGGGACAGTACTTACAATTGTCTTGGGATATTCTATTATATTATTTTTATTTTGGAAACCTGAAAATAACCTCAAGTTTCATTATACTTCCATCCTAGTCTGGCTAATGTGCTCTTCTTGCATTGCACAACAGTTTGGATCTCTCCAAGTTCAAGTATTTGTATTCTTACAAGTTATTATCTTCGGTGGATTTGTTTCAGAAGTTTATACCATTTATAAGACAATGATCGACGCAGGATCGTCAATATCAATAACTGAATCTCTTTCAATTGCTTTTTATGCCGATCATAAGAGTTGTCATAAAAGTTTAAATGAAAATGAGGATGTTACTGAACAAGAGGAGTTTAACCCGACTACGGAAAAAATGGAAAGTTCATCTAGTGGCAGTTTAATCGAAAGTGAATTGTATGAAAGTACTTTCTACTTGTTTTCTGTATTATGGGCTTGTATTATTATGCTATTGTGGAAAAATCCAATGCTTTTTTTGCTGTTGCCGTTGCCAATAATATTTTATATTACAAAACTTGCCGGAAAGTATATCGGGCTTTGGGAATATATAGAAAAGAAATATCAGATTATTTTTGAAGTGGTGAGTGTTTGGTGCTGGGAAAGGCATGACGCTTTAGTACCTGTGCCAATAAGAGGACTGTATCACGTTGTAGATAAAATGAACGTTATGACAAAAATTGTCGTAAGGAACAGTATGGATACTGTAGCCAGTATGGTTGTCATATCGGGACTGATAATTTTCCTTATATGTGCTTCTGTTTTCATCTCATTGCAGATATATGCTGAAGGTATCATGCTAGTTCAAATGATGGGTAATGTGTTCAACCAAACCGTCGTTCACAACCCCGAGTTGAGACAACTACTACCTCCTGCTTGGGATGATACAATGGATTCAATTCTAGACAATGCCTACCAGTATGGAAGAGAGGGTCTCTCGAAAGTTGTGAATGGAATGATGTCTGGGGTTGACTCGGCAAAATCAGAAAGATTAGAAAAACAAGTTCTAGAGTTGTGGGACAGGATATACCAAAATTGGATGTCGACAAATGATAGTAACGGTCCTAAAGTAACCGAAGATGCTGTACAAAAGTCCTGGGAAGACTTCCTCAAGGACATCCAAAAGACCCCAGAAATGTTTCATTTGGATAGCTTAGCGGAGTTTGTGAGACAAAACTTTGGAACTTTAATGTCTTTACTTGAATCTGTCTGGGGCATTGTCAAAGGCAATTTAACATTGATTCTAGGTTCCTTCAGCACGTTTCTATCTGTTATATTTGGTGGCGGCTCTGCCCTACTGAACTTCTTACTGAACGTGGTGGTTTTTTTAACGACGCTGTTCTACCTTTTGAACAGTAGTGGGGATCTTTATAAACCGGTTGAAATATTAACGAATTTCTCTTCGAAGGGAGGAGGTTGTGGCCGTGCTTTAGAGGAAGCAGTTAATGGTGTATTTTCTGCCTCTTTCAAAATGGCAGCATTTTACGGAATGTGGACTTGGTTTATACACAACCTTTTTGGGGTTAGGATTGTATACATTCCTACAGCATTCGCTACAATTTTAGGAGGGGTGCCGTTCCTTGGTACTTATTGGGCTTGTATACCAGCAGTTCTGGATCTTTGGCTGGCTAAGGACGCAAAAGTTTTGGCGATAACCTTTGCAATATTTCAGTTCCTCCCAACCTCTGTAGTTGATGCAACTATATACAAAGAAATCAAAGGAGGAGGACACCCATATTTAACAGGTTTAGCCATTGCAGGAGGAATTTTTTGTCTTGGAGTCGAGGGCGCTATCATGGGTCCTATGATTCTATGTGGTCTTTACGTAGCTATTAATTTATCATCGTCTCTTTTAAAAGATTCTCACGAATCAGTTCATTCTAAAGCACGGAACTGAAATGAGAATTACTTATCAACTAAACTTTCAATCTTAAATAATCGATAATAGATCTAATACGCTTTTGCTTATTGACAAATCTAATTATTAATATTGAATAGAGTATCCCTTGAATTATTTTTCCTCGATAAATGTGTTCTTGAAAGGGCAAATAACTAGCTTTGTTCAAAATGTCCCCGCATTCTATTTGAATGTGATTTTTTTAAATGTCTGAATATCTGAGAAGTTAAATGAAAGTCTTCAAGTCTAATGAATATCTGCAACAAAATTTATTTTAGGAGCTGTAGCACTTATAAAATAGATAGTTTTTATTTTCTAAAGTGATTCAAAAAAAGCTAGGTTTACAGAAACTGTAGCAATGTTTCCTTTTCATTTGTTGTTATTTCTGTGTTTTGTTCTTGTTTACACTGATGTTACCTTATAATGTATAGTATTAACAAAGTCAATTCGAATGGCATAAAAACAAAATTGTTACTGAACGTCGGCAGTTTCTTTGTATGGCATGGGCGGCGTGGTATAATTTTTTAGTCCAATCATTATTTTTATGTGGGAGTTTTTGTATGGTGTTACCCAGTAAATTAATCAGTCTTTTATTTAGCTGTTCAGATTGACTTTGAATAGACTATAACATCCTTTATATGTAGTACTCGAGGAACCTTTTTAGTTGAGTTGAAACTAGTTGGTTGATGTTTGTACAATACTCCTCAAATGTAATTTTAACCATTACAGTACTGTTCTTCCATTTCAAAATGTTTAAATTGCCTTTATTTGACTCTAGATCCTGTGATCCTGATGAGTACTACATATCTTGAATATTTTTTTCCAAAACATTTTTAATTTTTCGATACTACTTATACTGTGATATACTGCTTGTTATAATAGGGTTCTCGTTTAATACCCTACAATTTCTTACAACTAGTCAAGATATGGAAAAAAGAATAGATATTTTTGTTTTCTCTGTAGTTTATTTTTTTATTTTAGTTTACCTTTTCTGTTCACTTATAACCTTGCTCTAATGCTTGTGGAATAGAATTAAAACACACTGAATTATCTGCATTTCTCTTTTATATCTAAATAGTTTTATCGAAAGTAATACAAATTATGAAACAACAAAAAACTAATCGGCGCTCCCGGGCGACTTGATTAATTCCAGTGGCGCCTTTGCTTTTTCAGCTGCAGGAAAACCCGGAAAAACCTGCAGCACCACTTCATCTGAAGATCTTGATCTGTCAATGTCATGGAATAAAATGTAGGGTGTCTTCAGAGGCTCCAATAAATTCAAGATATTGCCAGAATATTTAGTGTCACGACTATCGTCAAACTTAAACCATTCCAATTCGTCTTTGACCACTGCGCAATAATGACCAGATTCAATGCCAGAACCACAATGAACAATGACTGCATGAAGATTATAATAGTGGTCTGCTTTATTGAAGTGTTCATATATTTCGAACCTTCATAATAGTTTGGTGCTTCCGTCAGAGGTTGAGGCATGTTTGAAGATCATCAGTGTCATTATTAGATTGACTAGTGCCTCAGCTTTACTTGTTTTCTTATAATAGTCAGTTACTTTGACGCATGTTTGGCAATACAGTTGATCATCCCCTGTTGAAAGTTCCATTTTCAGATGATTTAACAATGAGCTTTGCACGGACTGGTTATTAGTCATATTGGGAAACGCTAGTTGAAGTTCCAGCAAAATATTCACAAATGTTAATGTTAAATGTTAGAACAACTAAATTCTTACCGGGGTTATTTTTATTGTCTATGCATAGTCAGTGTAAATAATTGAAAAGTAAGAATTCCATAAAATTTGCCCCCCTTTTGGTGCGAGTTATGTAAAGTATGTTATCTAGCTTTGTGACTGTGAATACATCTCACAAGTACATGTGTTATTGCTAGTTTACAAGAAATTGTTGTAGCACAGCTAATGTAGTAATGAAGCAACTTATAATAGTTTTATCAGAATAAAATGTAAAGCGATTAGTCAACATAAACGGTCATTAACAGAATACACACACAAAGACAAGGAACGACTACTACTACCACAGAACTATTTATAGTTCTGTGACAATTACACTGCTTATACATTTTTGACATCTATAACACAGAACAGCCTTTTAAGAAAAGATCATAGAGTATGTGCAGAATTGTATTCAATTCAACAGAAATGTGATGAAATAATTCAAAGAACAATCATTTCAGTATTTATTTTTCATTCAGCACAAAATACAGCAACACTTGCGTGCAAGATGATATTTTAAATCTCTCATCATAATTAAGCGACAGCATAATAAATAAAACATTTGATAATTTTTTGAATATAAAAATATATAGTTTCAGTACCAATACCCGTGGAGTGATTGACAATATCGAAATGTTAATAAAAACAGTAAATTGTACATAATTGACATTATTTAAAACTTTGGTATTGAAACGTACATTGATAAAATTGTGAATCAGTAATGAAAAATCATATATTATCTGAGATATCAAACATAACTCAAAAAACAGTGACAAAAACAATTTTACACGAGATATGAACTTGTTCATTCGACAATACAACTGTTTGGATGGTTGAACACACTTCTACATATAAACTTGCGAAAAATTATTTCACTTCCGTTTTGTAGAGAGTGACATTGTTTTCTGGTAATTTGTAATCCGAATCCACTTGAATCTCGAATGTAACTGAGCCTGATTTTTTAAGGGATCCTCCTTCATAGAATATGTTCCTGGCCCATGCTCGACATTCTATACTGACCAAGACATTTGCTGGAAAAGGAAATAAATTACGACTCAAAGGTGAATTATTCATTTACGATGATAAATAACATTATGGAAAATGTACAATAAGAGACAAAATGTGTTCGAAGAAAGTGCGCCTAGTGGACTTGAAATTCGCCGAATTGAAGCAAGAATTGGAGGAGAGGAAGCTAGATTGTTCTGGAGAGAACTCAGTACTCCAGAAGTGACTTTGGGATAACTTGACTGAATCGGGAGAAGATCCCAAAACATATTTATTCGAAGATTATGGGGTTGATTTGAGTTCAATAATGAGCAAACTCGATGAGAATACCAAATTGCTGAAAGACGAACTTCAACAAAATTCGCAGTGTCTGGAGAAGAAGCTTCTGGAAAATTCGAAGGGTTTGGAAGACAAACTTTTAGGAAAATGCGGAGGGCTTGAAGAAAGAACTTTGTTGTGTGGCGAGTCTACTTGAAAAAAGGATAGGAACCATCGAGACAGAGACAGACAAAATCAGGAAGGAAATAAACATGGAAGTACAGGAAATCAAAGGCGGAGTTCAGGCAGAAATCAGCAAGGTGAAGGAAACAATTAGCAATTTGTAAAACCAAATCGTTAATTCTGCTCACACCACAGAAACTGTTACCGAAAACTCAATTCCGGAACTGAGTTTTAACATGAAATAACTTCAAAAGGCAATGAAATATGTCAAAGTCAGTTCTGAACCAGGAAAGCTCTCCATGAAGCCGCCCCAGTTCGACGGAAAAACTCCTTGGGCAAATTACCGCCGACCAATTCAAAGCTGCGGCGAGCGAGTAGATGGAATGCAGGAGAAAAGGCGGTAGCATTAACATTGACGTTACGTGGAGAAGCAACGCATATTTTTCAAACCCTCACATCCCAGGAACAGGAAGACTATGACCAACTTATAAAGCATCTTGAGCTGCGGTATGGATAGGCCCACCTAGAGCACGTTTACCATTCACAGCTGAAGAACCGCTGTCAGAAATCAGGAGAATCCCTACAGGAATTTGAAGCCGACATTGCTCGATTGGTTCGTCTGGCATATCCTGCTACACCGGAAAATGTAATGGAGCGGTTAGCAATTCAGGCATTCTTGGACGGACTTCGCGACCAAAAAACGAGGCAGGTCTTGACACTAGCTCGTTCCAAACATCTCGTGGATGCACTGGCGAGCGCTCTGGAGTTTGAGGCTGTAAAACAATCCAGCAAGAGCCAGAGCAAAGTTCAAACTATCGAAGAAGTGTTGCCTGAGAGAAAACAAATAAGTTGCTGCAACCGTGGGAAAATTGGGCATGGCCTTCTGCGCGGTATTCTGCGCGGCTAGTTGTTGTTTTTCCATTGGGTATCTGTCACATGAACTTACCAAGTCGTAGGTTCAATCTAAAGATAAAAAACACCAAATAAACTCACGAGTTATATTGACTATTTCTACGGCAACGATAGGACTCAGATAGTTCTTCACATGTTTGTAGGGGTAATAATATCCTGCAAATCCCCTAGGATAATAGTTGAATTCTTTTGCATTTTCTTTATCAAAGTCATCGATCCCATTACAGGTGACCCATATTTGTTTTCTATCATCGTGAGATTTGGTCTGAAAAAAAAATTGAAGTCAGATTTACCCATTTGAGAAATTATTATTTGTTTGTAATTATAAATTTCTTTAAGATGAAGATTTGAAAAAAAAAACACATCGGTGGATTGCCGATTGATCTTAATGATAATGTAAGAGCAGTTCAATTCTAATTCTGATCCCAACAGTCGAACGGAAAGTCACAAGCAGCATGTATTCAATTGTTGAACGAACGTCTTAAAGTTAAGGGATGGTGTGAATGATGCGACTCTTACGCCTCCAAGTAAACCTCCTTTTACAGAGTAACAGCGAATTTATTCGAAATTTTCACAGGAGCTCACGTAGCAACACGCGCGCCATCTCTCATGTTCAGGCAACTGCTCTTCTCAAAAGCTGTATACATGCGAACTGTTTGCAACTGTTGAAGTTGCTCTTATGGCCTGTCTTAAGGTGGTGTTTATATTGGGCTGAGGTTGTTTGTTTATCACAGAGTGAGAGTTTGTGTTCTTCTAACCTGAGTGATATTCGCCTGTTTGTTTGGACGGCGTATTCTCCGCTATAATCGCCACAAGTAATCTCATCATAACTATGAGCTGATTTCGTATTTTGAATTGTTTGTAGTTCTCGTAGGATTATATTTTGTTTTTATGCTGTGTCGGTTCAGAATTTTTCTAATTGTATCTTTAGCTCCTGTGGCGTAAGGTAGGATAGCTTCAATTTCTTTTGTGTTTGTTTGTACATTGTTTTCCTTCTTTATTCGGTGTTTCATGTGAATCATACGATTTTTGCATCCTTTTCATCTATTCTGCTGAAGAACTTTTCTTATGTTTCTTATTCATTCTTTCGTTTTCGTCTGTTGACGGACATAAGGATGTTATTTATAGAGATGTATAACTAAGTTGGCAACGCCTTTCGAATGGCGGCCATTTTGTCAGCTGAGAGTGATTTATATGTTCAGTTTGGATTGACATTTCAACATGAAAAGACTGAAGCCTCAACAATGCTTCTAAATTGTGCAAATTTATTTTGAAAATCATAGTTCTGCTCGAAATACGTATCGTGCAGTACGTCCATTTTTCGGTCAACATAATCGTCCATCAGAGCAATTAATTCGATTGAATATGAAACGTTTTCGCACCACGTTTACTGTAAATGATAATACACATCCACAGAGACGTCGTACAGTGCTCTCAGAGTCTCAGAGCGGTGTCTGTTCGAAAGTAATGATTCACATTGGATTTGAATCGCTGGAGATTGAATCCATTTGGAAAAACATTCTCAGGAAGTTTATTCTACATAAACGCAGTTCTCCAGATGAAAAATTACTTGAATTACTTGAACGATGGGCAGCCACAGTTCCTCACGTATTTTTGATGTGTACCGCTCTTGGTGGAATCAAATGAGCTATAGTATAACAATTTTCAATTGAAAGTAACTCATATACAAATTGAACTGAGAGCTAACGGCAACAATGTTAAATATTGGAATTAAATTCTTACCGGGGTCATTTTTATTGTCTATGCCATTGTAAATAATTGAAAAGTAAGATGATTCCATAAAATTTGCCCCTCGTAACAAGATAGCTTCTGCATATCGATAGGATGTACGAGCGAATAGGTGAACCAGTTCGTTAAATGCTTTGAAACATCGGTAAACTGATCAACACTTCGTAGGTCTATTATATTTGCGTCCTTAAAATGCCATAAATAGTCATTCGATTTCTTCATTATCAAGCGTCCTTATCTGCATAGGCGTAGTGTGTTCTGTTTCTTGTGTTTTGTATTCATTAAATATATTTTATTATATTTATTAAATAGACTGTTATATTTATTAACTTTGAAATATAAGATAGAGTTGGCCGATACTTGTTTTTCAAAATACATTATCATAGATTTTCATCACATTCACACTTTATTGTGAGATAATTAGTTGACCTAGTCATTAAACACAGGTATAATAATGTTCGTTAAACTCAGGTATAACTGTCATTAATTAGTTCCTAGAATATTATTAGTTTCTAGGTAGATAGTAATATTTCAAAAAGTATATAAAAATCACAATGTATGTAGAATTCAGTTTGTTAGTGAACACGCTTGAAAAAGCTACTGTGCAGCGAAACATGTGTTGCGGATTTGTTAATCTGTTCTAGTGAAAATCTTACAATGAAGTGTTTTTCAAAATACATCAACTTCAAAATAGTTTTTGAGGTAAGTAAACAACTGACGAATAGCTGAATAATATGATTGAATTTTATTATTTTTATAGTATTGAGATGGATGTCGTAGCAGGTCCAAGTAATGTACAAAGAAAGCGGAAGTTTATGAAGAAAAACAGATTGTCTGTAGAGTGTACGAAAATTAAAAAAATACACTCCGTACAGTGGAAGCTATGGCCCAGTGTTCATTTTCAACGGGAATATCCGTGTCGACAATTGAACGCATTTTACGTGAAAAATTATATATGCCAAACGATCCCGTAAATCTGTCTTAATAGAAAGAGAAGATATAGTATCATGGCGACGGATATATCTTCGCTCTATTAGAGAAATGCGTTCTGCTCACAAAAAGATTTATTATCTGAACGAAACGTGGGTGAATGCTGGTCACACAGTATCTAAGATCTGGCAAGATACTACTGTAACTAGTTATCGTCAAGCATTTGTGGACGGTTTATCAACGGGGTTACGCGGACTAACGGGTGAAGGGCAACGACTAATTGTCGCCCATATAGGTAGCGAGAGTGACTCTTTAGACGATAGTGCACTAATTTTTTTATGAAAAAAACGGGGGATTATCACGAAGACATAGACGCCCAACGCTTTGAAGGATGGTTTCAATCCCTTCTTTCACGAGTCGAGCCAAATTCGGTAATAGTAATGGATAACGCTTCTTATCACAGCCGATTAGTAGAACAGCTGCCAACTATGACCACCAGAAAAGCAGACATGCAGAGTTGGTTAGGACAAAAAGGAATTTCATTTTCCGAGGACATGGTTAAGGCCGAGCTTAATAGTGTCATTAAACAGCATCGTGACAGATATCGCCAGCATGTGGTGGCTACAATAGCTCGTGCTGAAGGCATCACCATTTTGAGACTTCCTCCTTACCATTGCGAGTTGAACCCGATAGAATTAATCTGGGCTCAAATTAAGGGTTACGTAGCTCGTGAAAACGTGACATATAAAATTTCTGACGTCCAACGTTTTTTAGGACTCGCAAAGGAACGGATACGGAAAGAAGATTGGGCTAATGCTGTAGCCCATGTGATCAAGGAAGAAGAGAATATGCTGAGATTGAACGGGATGGTAGAGACTGTTTTCGACCAAATAATAATAGATTTAAGTGTGACTGGGGATTCTTCTTCGGACGAGTCAATGGATTCTGAAATTTCATAAGCATAACATAGGTAATTATTTCTTTGCTTTGTAGTTCTCTTTCCATATAAAAGGAACATAACAATTATTTTGTAAAATTTTCTGTTTTTTTGAAGTACTGTATTAGGCATAATAAGAAAATGTAATAAGTTTTACCATTGACACCAGGTAGCGGCACCTACTATAACAATTTTTACGTAATTATCTATGTGTTTAAATGAATAAAAATATTATTTTGGTACACCTCTGCAGAGTTGGTAAGAGAATTATCCGTTGGTCACTTCAAGTGCGACGTTGCTAATGAATCACCTTCAATTGAAAATTGTTATATTATAGAACGATCGTTACCGATATATAAGGCCCTTTTCTCGTCTAGAGAGGGCAGTTGAATTCAGAAAGTGAATCGAGCGGTTAAACAAGGAATTCAAATAGTAGAAATAAATTAAGAGGTAAGTATTGTAAATGAATTAGTTTGTGATACTGAAATATTGTTAGAAATAAATTTGCTTGAGACAGTAAATTCTTCAATTTGTTACAGTATCTATAGATACTTCGATGTTCCAGGCTATCGAGTTGCACGTAATGTTCGCGTCTCCAATCAGGCGGATGGCTCTTCTCTGGATGGAATCCAGCCAGCTTCAGGGTATTTTTGGGGGCGGAGCTCCATACATGAGAACAATACTACAATGAGGGTCTAATTTGAGCTTTATAAAGCATCTATAGTTGCTAAGGTGTGTACAGTTTTCTGGTTCGGAACAGTGTTCCAAGCTTAAAGATGTTGGGAACTTCAGGAGTAGAATTAAATAAAAATACTCACAGCATTATCTATATGATATTTCAGATCATCTGGCATAGATTCGACCGAGGAATTGTAGAATTCCGGTTCCCAATCGAAAATCTGAAAAATAATTAATGAGTATGAGTATCAAAATCTGTTAAGTAGGATAAGATATAATTTTTGATCTTTCATTTCATATCCATAAAACGTTCTCAAGCAAATATTGATTACGGAGGCCACAGATAGGAAGAACACTTCACCAGCTGACCAGAAGATAGAGCAGGGCCGAAAGAAACAGCATCGCACTCTTTCCAACTCCAGCAATAAGAGTGAGAAATCTGATCGTGTCACTGGATACACTACAAAATAGGTTATAAGAACCTTTTAACATTTCTCATTCTTATATTATTTTTACAATCATTATAATTTGTTCCTAATGACTTGATTGTTACCCTTTATACAGGGTGAGTCAACAAGGATTCCTCGGTGCATTGTTATCAGAGCTTAGAGAAGTGAAAAGTTTCGTGAAACCATGGGCCACATTATCTAAACATCGAAGGGACCAAGTAATCCTAACCCGTTTACGGTTAGGCCTCACACGACTAACTCACGAGTATTTGCTTCAAAACAAAAATGAACCAACATGCGAATCACGCCTCGTGAATCTGACTGAGGAGCATCTCCTCACTGATTGCTTGTCCGCTCTTTAACCAGCAGAGGAATGATCATGGAATACAATTATCTTTGAAGGATACACTAGGCCCTAATTGTGCATTTGATAAACTATTTTCCTTTCTGAACTCTATTCAAATAACAAGTAAACTATAATTAAAAATGTTACCTCAACTGTAACGCTAATAAACAATTTGGAGATTATTCACAAACTCAATTCAATAAACCGTATCAATATTTCATAACCATATTTACCTATTATCGATTTATGTATAGCTTTTTTACGGTGCACAATGAAACATATTGAAAGATTGTAGATAACATTCGAACATCAATTTCCACCCCTGTGATGGGGTGGGAACCCGACCATGAAGATCCATGCCAACGATATCCTTTACAACCCTCGAATGTGGGTCAATGATTTTTAACAGGTTCAGAGGAAAACCTCTTTGAAGTCGAATTTTGGCTGTTCAACATTTTTTTATGTTGTGGATATATTTCTACAAATGAAAAACTATGGATAAACAATAGCCCAGGACAATTAGACTTTTTTCGTAATCGGTCGGTTTACAAACTAGACTTATTTCTTCAAAGGTTATATTTAAACAAAACAACCTCTAAGAAAATCTATCAAATCAAAGTAGGGCGTTTTTGAAACAAAAATACAAGCGTTAAGTAATTTCAAGTAATTCAACCTCAAAACATAATAATAACATTAAATTCAGGCCAGACTTTTCAACTCATGGCTGGACAGAGAGCAACCGATTCCGGATTGGTTTGTCGAGGGGCGGGCCGTTCTCATCCCCAATAGTGGAGATTTGTCGATTCCTAATAATGACAGACCGATAACGTGCTTGAACTCGTGTTGTAAGTCATTTACAAGCATCGGATACACACGAATACTCACCGCAGTTGACCGAGTGTTCGAACGGATATATTAGCAGAGAGGGTCCAAGAGAGTAGTCACTGGAGGTAAAGAGAATCTGCTCATCGATAGAGGTGTAACGCAGGACTCTATACAATATAAGCGTAACCTCTCTATGTTCTGGATCGATTACTGCAAGGCATTTGATACAACATCGCATGATCTCATCTTGCATTTGCTCAGATGCCTTGCGGTACCCGATAAAATAGTGAGGATGTATTGAACAACTGATACCACTCTGGTGAACTCGCTTCACCATAACATCTGGTCAAGCCAGAGGACAAACAGGGTGGGTCACTTTCAGAAGGGGTGTATTTCAGGGCGATTCCCCCAGTACCCTTTTATTTTGCATCTCACTATTGCCATTATCCGTTGCGCTCAGAAATACTCGAGGGTATAACTGCGGCACGACCGGAAACCGGAGGCACAAGGTCACCCATTTGTTTTATATGGATAATCTTAAACTTTACGCCTCTGGAGAGAAGGATCTCCATCAGTCCTTGAGGATTTTGGACGGTGTGAAATTTGGGATAGACAAATATGCAACGGTCCATCTCAAAAGAGGACGATGCGGGGACTACGGAAAGGATGTGCAGCTCGTATATGGAAGTATCCTACACCATTTGGATGCCGGAGAGACGTATACTTACCTCGGGGTGGAACAACGCCACTCACAAGAGGTAACAGCAGTGAAGAACTCTCTCCGCGGTAAGTATCAGCACAAACTTCGACAAATCTGGTCATTGGAACTGTCGAGGAAGAACAAAATTGCTGCAACAAATATGCTTGCCGTTCCAATCTTACTCTACTCGTTTAGAGTAGTGAAGTGGACACGGGAAAAGCTGTATAAACTCGACGTAAAGACCCGAAAAATGATGTATCTCTATAGGAGTTTGCATCCCAAATCGTCCGTTCCACGGCTGTACTTCCCCCGACAACAGGGAGGTCGTGGACTTTTGAGTTTGGAGTGTCTACATGACAGAATGGTACTGGATACGGCCTGTAAAGTCGACAGGAGTTCGGATCCCCTTCTCTGCATGGTCCGTGACCATGAGCGAGCAGGAATTGGAGCATTTTTCTTTATGGCAGCTGTCCGAGCAGCTGATGAACTCGGTTTAGTTTTCGACACTGAACGAGATGATCACAACTCTGTCACCAAGTTGGAAATCGTTCAGCAAAAAGCTCATATAAAAGCCGCTGAGATCACCTCACTCCTGCGGAAACACAAGGATAAGCCAACGCATGGGGTCTTCTTCAATAAAATTGAAGACCTTGGCTTATCAAAGCGCCTTATTTTCGCTTTCCTCAGATTGAGAGGGCTGAAGTCGGAAACTGAGGGGTTCATCATTGCTCACCAGGATGTCTTCAACACCTTAGTCTACCGCAGTCGCGGGATGCAAGCCATTTGGGTCAACGTACCGTACAATACTATGCCGCCACCGCCGATATCTACTAGTGAGCGCGCAGTCCCTTTGATAAAAACCGCCTCTGAGTTCAGACGGTACAGTCGTTAACAGGCGACTTTCGGCTCTTACTTCAAAAAATAAAGTCAAGATTGTTTACAACGCATTTTTTGTATTTTTTTATTCTGGTTTTTTATTGATCAAAGGCGCCGACTCGAGTATTTTTGAGAATGTTCGAGTACGAGGCTAGAACCATAAAAGCGACGATCCCGCCTCGACACTCAGTCAAGGCCGTTCTACTACCCATCATTCTGTATGCCTCTTCTGCCTGGGGCCAGTGCGCAGCGACATACAGACGCAGTATCCAGACGTTAATGAACGCATGCTTACGAGCTGCCGTAAACGCCCAAGATAAATGCCAAACAGATTCATCAACCGGGACCTGGACCTCAACATCCACTACGTAGACGCGTACATGAGAGAACACGCCGAGAATGTATTCGAAAGAATATGAACACAAGCCAATCTAGCGCTGCGTGACCTGAATGAAGCGCTACATGAACAGATTACTAATACACACTCCGGTAAGGTTAAGGGGGACTCCCATGCAAACATTACACACAGTGAAATCACGACAAACCAAAATCAACCTGAGTGAAAGCATCTAAAGGCTAACTTTCGACCGCAGGAGGTCAGATGTCAATTTTGCTGAAGTGCCAAGCAGCAAGTTGAGGACCACTCGGGAATGAGTGGGGGTGGAAGGACGAGATTTTAGCCTCTGCACACAGTAACCGTGTGGGGAAGATTTCATCTCAGGACACTCAATCCCGGACTAGGAGCATGGGGGGACACTCAGTCAGTCGACGATTAGCGTACGGAGCGATAAGTATCTACCTGCTAGAACCGAAGTGTTTATTGTTCAACTGCTGTATTCTGATTGTATTCAGTTTTGCATAATTCTTCTTTGCACCAACTCTTCTACGTAGTGACTATCGTGCATTATTTTGACCCCACTTCATAAAGAGGACTGGAACGTTGGCGTAAAGGCGTTAAACGTGTTACAATAATATCTTCTAACGAAACTGAATGTTCAAAAGCAGTACGCGCAGAGTATACAGCAATTACCGATCCAGACGATGATGCAACGACGTCAAGTTTTACGGTTTCAAAGACGTAAAAAAGGAAGTATAATGGATCATATATCAGTTTCGGATTTGTTGATTCCAACGGCTCACCTCTCTGCATGCTGTGTAGTAAACTGCTCCCTAATAGGTCCAATGCTCCTGCCAAGTTGGGCCGACATTTAGAAACTGTACACCCGAGTCAAAAGACGAGAATTACGATTTTTTGTGCGTACTCTGTATGAAGTACAGGTGTGGAGAAATAGGGTGCATGATAGCATGGTGAAGATACAGTTGAGCGCAGCACAGAGGCCCTTCCTGGCCCTTACAGAACGACACCAACGGCTGCGCTCAGTGTCTTCACTGTAATGGCGCCATTACAGGTAGAAGGATGGGCCAGATATCAAGAATGGAGAGTGAATGGGACAAGGAAGACTGAGAAGAAAGGACAAGATAGGCTATTCCCATGGTTGCAAAGAGCGTTGCTGGAAGAGATGGAGGACGGAGGAATCATTGAAGAATAGATGCCGGAGCGAAGGTGGAGGTTGAAAGAATGGGAATAGGCTGGGCATATAAAGGGGTGAGGATGAATGGAACACTGGAAATGATAGGATCACTGGACAAACCATCGTGAACAAGGCAGAGCTGATTGTGATCAAGCGACTGATCAGCATGTGGAGGATGGATGAGAGCGTGAAAGTAATTAGTGACTCTGCTATGGCTGTAGAACGAGTGAAAGCAGGAAAAGTGAGGAGCAAAAGAGCAGCAATGATTCAGCAGATTATTGAGGAGAGAAGTGCTAGAAGAGTACCTACCTAGATCACATGGAAGAGGGGACACGATGGAAGTAATGTAGGAAATGCAAAAGCTCACGAGGAAGCTACCAAGGGTATGGACAAAGCACATGTCACATGGAACGTAAGAAAATCGCATAGTGAGATTGAAGAGATAAAAAGGATAAAAGTGAGTATGAGGAGAGAATGGCAAAGGGAATGGGAGACAGGTACGACTGGGCGACTGTTCTACAGATTTTGTAGAACAGTCGGATATGACTCATTGGATCTATCGCGGAAGGCTACTCACGGGGCATGGGAACTTTCCGGGATACCTGGGTCTGGAGGTTCCTTGCCCCTGTGACTATGGGGAGCCTGAAACGGCAGAGCACGTGATTGATAGATGCATGCATGGAGACAGGATTGGTTAGCGACTGTGGAGGGAAAGGACGGAAATGACGGAGGGGATGAATGGTGAAATGATTTTGAGAAATATAAATGAGAAAGAGATTGAATGGATACGATTCGTCAAAGATTGGGCGGACAATATGTGGGTGGGGAAGAAAGGAAAGGATAGGTGGTAGGCTGATGGCTTACAGGCGCAGAAATAGCATGCTGATTATGGGGAGGGGTTATGGTCTCCTCAGTCATGGCAAGATATGAAACTTTTTTTTCGTAAATATCTCCAAGGAGGTGCGCTAATAATGTTGTTCACTTGGATTCAAATGGGTTGGTCATACTAAATGTATGGGAAAAGTATGTCATGTCAAGATTGTTTCTCTTTTGAGAGAACCTGAATTGCCAATTTGAGTTTATTTGATATATTATTGCGTAATGATTGTTCTGTATGTATTGGGAAATGTATGCCGACGCTATGCGCCGGTGGTACGGGGGGGGGAGTTCGGAGGAGTAGGGGTTCCCTTGGTAGTGGTGGTGCTAGATAGAGGGAATATGCCTGTTGTAAGGCCTATGGGCTAGGACAGCAAAGCCAAGGACATTATTCATATCTTTTATGGCGGAGATCTTGAAAAAATTGAACGAGTTAAATTTGTCATTGGAAGATAAACAGACAAAAGTGTTCCAGGCCTGTAACAAAAAAAAAACTGCCTTGAAAAAATATCAGATTTTCGGATTATTTGCGTTGGTAAGAGAGAAATAGAAAGCTTTACGTCACTCAGTGAGTCTGTTAGTGTCACTTCGATGCAGGTATTTTTTGAGAAGTATTTTCCCAACTTGCAAAGGCCGAAAGTAGGTATGCCACACGATATATATGAATCTCTTTTAGAAATGTCATCAGACACATTATGTCACAAGTTATAGTGAAAAATAGAGATCCGGAATGATATCTAGAAAAATGTACCAACACTGGTTTTTAAAATCGCAAAAGTTATAAACAAATTACGATGTGAAAAAAGGTATTTAGGTTGTTGAAAATAGTTCAGAAACTAAAAAGAATCATGAACTTTGAAAGAAGTTCTTTAAAGAGGAGGAAGTTTTCAAAAAAACGCCACCTTCTGAAACTCTATCTCTATTATTTATAATTTTAATTTAACGCCTGATACCTGATAATGTTCCTACTTACCCTATTTAACTTCAGGAAAACACATGGGGATGATGAGTGGTATCCATAATGTCTATCTGGATTACACCGTCCCAACTGTTGAATAGGAACAACGCAAACTTCATCTGACTTCGGAAGCTTCCCAAAGTCACAATTAACAAAATTTTCACCAGTCTGATTGGTTTTGTAAGCTGAAAAGACATTATTCGAACATGTTATTGAAATAATTTTCGGGATATTGCAATAAAGAATGCACCGTTAGTAATATGCCTTAGACTGTACAAGACAGCAGATTTGATTTTTATATAGCGATTTTTTGAATATTCTAGAGAAGGATAAGTCAAAATAGACAATTTTTTTATGTTGTGACTTACTGAAAGAGTTTATTTATTCATTTATCTAACGGGCAGCACCCATTATACAAACAAGTTGTTACGAAGGTGTACATAATTACTTATGATTAAGATCAGTATTAACACTAAATCTAAAAAATTAAACCAAAAAAAATTTTAAACTAGAAACAAATACAAATAATAAGTGAAAAACTAAGATTAAACCCAAGGACTATAACTGAGTACAATGTGATACACATATACCTACTAGCTTGGCTGAATACAGTAGCTTTATCAACAGTGATAACAGTGTTGATAAAGCTACTGTGTAGCGAAACATGTCTGATATATAATAATAAGTGAAAACTAAGATTAAACCCAAGGACTATAACTGAGTACAATGTGATACACATATACCTACTAGCTTGGCTGAATACAGTAGCTTTATCAACAGTGATAACAGTGTTGATAAAGCTACTGTGTAGCGAAACATGTCTGATATATAATAATAAGTGAAAACTAAGATTAAACCCAAGGACTATAACTGAGTACAATGTGATACACATATACCTACTAGCTTGGCTGAATACAGTAGCTTTATCAACAGTGATAACAGTGTTGATAAAGCTACTGTGTAGCGAAATATGTCTGATATATTTTTCAAATAAAGTTTGTGGACATCAAATCGTGAGGTGTAGTTTATAAAATTACTATGGATTTTCATCAAGTAACGGACGAATCAATCAGAAAAATACAACAATGTATTCAGCCAAGCTAGTGTAGAGATACGCAACATATGGAAACCCATAATCAAAAGACATGAACTCGAGGAAATCTACACGTCAAATTTCCTTCGAAATGAATATTGGCCATACAAGTGCTTGGAGACATCTAAAAAAAGCGGTTTAAAATGTTATAAAATACACATATCTCAAAAATTGCATCCCGAAAGGCGACTAGAATTTCGTAATTGGCTAATAGCAGGGGAGCTATAGATTTTTAAATATGAAAAAAAATACTGTTGCATGGACATACTCGAGCGCGTCAGATATTGATAGCATCAATATCCTACGTATTTTTAATAATGTTCGTATGTTAATCTGATCGTTTGCATGATGTGGGTGGTTGTACGTAAGGGTTAAAAGTGAAAAGAAAAAACATTTAATCGAGCGCGTCAGATTTTCTAAGAGGGTGTTAAGTGCAACAAAAAAAAGCTCTCATTCAATAATCTGACGATTTCGATCTGACGCAAACTCGTTAATTTTGCATCTTATTAGATGATTGTATAATAATTTGTATATATATTGTATAAGTTTGAAAATTTCCTTATAGGACAAAACGTTAGTTACAAATAAAAGTGGTAAAAAACATAGAAAGTTTTTTCCTACCACGTAGTAACGGCTACATCCATCAATTAATTGATTGATCATCATCTTCATCATAAACGAGTCTCTGTGATCAGCTGTGATGGCGTCATAGCAACATAATTCAGAGTGGGGACGGAGTGAGAGAGTGATAGATAGAGAAAAAGTGAATAGAGAATAGAGGAATAGAAACTCGGAAAGGAAAATATAGCTGGCGTACAGCTGTACGCATCAAACTTTATCGACTAATTTTTGTTATTTCGGCTTGCGGAAATCGTCAGATTATATAATTTTCGTTATCCTTAAATTATTTCCTTCAAAATAAAAAAAATAACTACGCTCGAGAATGTCCAAATGACGTTATTTTTTTACAATTCTGCTGCCCTCCCCTTTCTTTACGTCACTCTCTAATTGTCAGATTACTGGAATATACACTTTTTAGCAGGTAATTAACTCACCCTACCTTAATCTGACGCGGTCGAGAATTTCTGATGATCAATTTTTTTTACTAATCTGATACTCTATCCCTCACAGGCGGTCTTATGTATGGGGCTCATATTTGGTGGAGGCACTTAACCGGGTACAAGGTATCCCCCTGTAAATTAATCTGCCGCGCTTTCGTAAATTCCAAAATCACCGCTTGGGCTCCCCTATTATAATAAGAAGACCTGATTTTCCTATTTTCCTGGAAAATGTAATTTGGACAGAAGAGAGCACTTTTACGAATTGTGGGATATTGAACCGAAATAACGGAGCATAAACAACCTCAGGAAGTTCCGAGAAATTCGACCTCAAGTGCGATTTAGTATTAACGTGTGAGCAGGAATTCACAAAGATAGAATTTTGGGTTCCCATTCATTTGACGGAATTCTAAATGGAGAAACCTATCACCAGTTTTTAATGTCGATTTTCGACGACTATTTGAATGATCTACCTTTGGCTTTGGCTTTATGGTCAGAGGGAATATCAAAATATTGAGGACCTTCAACACAGCATTGTTAGAGAGTTCGGAAGAATGAGGAGGAGGGAAATTAATCGTGCAGTGTATAATTTTCGAAGAAGGGCACAGTTGTGTTATCATAAATAAGGCCAGTATTTTGAGCATTTGCTGTGATTTACTTTTGTCTTTACATTTTAGTTAATTTTTATTATTTGTTCAAAGATATATTTTCATTGAAAAGGATACACTGTCTAAATTTACTTTATACACATCTCATTTATCAAATTTTGATTGTTTATTCTGTCTCCGTATTTTTCCTCGGCTTTTCAAATGAACCAAACTTGGAGATTGTAATTCAATAACTTGAACATAGTTCGATGTGGTTGTCGTCTATCGGAATACAAGTTTAAATACATTTTCGATGTCCTAACGCTGTTTCTATCGTATTTGTAATAAATTTGTATCATATCTCTTTTTCCTTCATTCGTGAAAGCCATTTTTTGCCAAAAATTCAATGACTTGTACAACAACAAAATGTCATTGAGTGTAACAAATTGAAAGTCAAATTTAGAAACATCAAAGTCAAAGCCTATTATGAATGCGAATTGATTTTTTTAATATCTCCAATTTTTTGAAAAAGAATGATAACTTATGATAACTTCATAACTTAATTCAAAACAGAAAAAATCCAATGTAGCGTCAATAAGAAAAAATAAAGTTGATGATGGTGGCCGGAAGACGAAACGTCTGATAGCAAATCTGAAAACACCATTATGTAGCAGGGAAAAAGTGTTGACGTGGAAGTGCAATTTATTTTTGAATCCTTCGAAAAATAAAACCAGAAAAAAATTAGAACCATTTTCCGAAATTTCTGTTTTTTTTTTCGAATATCACCGGTTATACTCGGAATTTGAAAACATTCTCAAAAGCATATTGTTAGTAGGTAAATACGCAACTTTACCCCAATTCAACCATCTTAGTATCCCTAATAGTTTTCGAGATCCCAATGGTGAGGATCGAGTTTGAAACACTCTGTAGAGGGTGGGTCGTTTCTAAATTGTTAGATAGAAAATATATTCGTATGATTGATAAACGGAATGAAAATAAAAGAACTTACGCTTCAAAAACTCGTCCATCAATTTTACCCATTTAGTAATAGTGGAAGGATCGGTGATATTATACCAAATAAGCGAACCCTCTTCAGTTTTTGGGGAAATGGGTTTAAAACCAAGACCAGGGTTCATTCCAATCAAACTGTCATCTAATTTCCATCTTGGTTCCTTTTCGCTCAATGTGAAAAAGAGGCCCTGCATACATATCGCAAACAGAGCTATCAGCACAATGTAGAAAATCATGTAAAATCCAAGTAACTGACCTGAAATGAAAAAACGAAAGTTGTTACCGGTATTTTGGACACACATATTGAATTATGTCTACGAGGAAATGGAAAGTACATCGGGGTTATCTAGAGATTTTGCCCTTTCCACGCCTGTTTGATGTTCTGCATTACAATTATTTATTTTTCGCAGTTAATAAAAAAGAAACAAAGTTTGTCTGAGATATCATCAAAAATGTGTATTCGTTTGATGCCATTGTGTCCGCCATGGCTTCTCCGGGTGGAGCGCATACGAAAAGTCCAATTTTCCATGACTCTGGCGCATAAATCAGGCTGAATTCGGTTGATGGGATGGGTTATGTTGGCTTTGACGACCGCTGTGGTTTGTGGCTCATTCGCATACACCTGCGACTTAAGAAAACCCCTGGATTTATATCTAACAATCAATCCAGAAATTTACACAGTAAGGTATACATATACAGGGCTTTTCATGATGAGTGTTAATTAGCCGTTTCTGGCAAACTATTCAACGGATCAACCTGAAAATTCCACAGTATGCATAAGTCAATATGACCTACACGCCTAAAATATTTTAGACGAAGCGGCGTTGTCGATTCTACTATAAAATAGCGGCTTCTTTGATTTTTCAGATGGAACACCCCGTATATAATATCATATTATGATTCATTATCACTTTGTCAACAAATTCATATACTATTTCCCTATACCTATCTATTACCGTTTAGAAGATATAAATTAATTTCGATATTTTTTTTACCAAACATGAACTTTTATAAATGCTGATAATCTTGAACTCTTTTGCACTAAAACGATCAAATTTGAAATGAAGTGGAATGATACTATGAGGATCTTCACTCCGAGTCATATTTTCATTTGCCTCATACAGGGTCTTCAAAAAATGCAGATACTTTGATCTCATGAAAAAATGAGTGGAACTCAATTTTTTCAAATGGAACACACTGTATATTTCAACATTTTTGAGCTCTACATACAATTTTAGATTAACTTTGTTCAGATAATACTATTTCTATTTTGAACCGTTTTCGAGATAAACTGTTTAAAACGGAAATTGACGTGGTTTTCTTGCTCGTTTTTTTAAATTCATCACTTATTTTGGATATTCAACATTTTTTTTTAAACTTAGTAATATTTCTTTTTGATCCAGTTTTTTAACTGTGCCAGATCAGTCAATTCGAAATTGGTATGTACCTACCTTAGAAAAAGTTACAATTTGTATACATTGAGGTATTGGTCTCTAGCGTACAATAGTACACATTAATATTTTTTACAAGACAAGATGAAGAACGAGTTTTGTTATTCATGAACCATGGTACGAATCCATGCAAAATTTCTTTGTAGTGATTTTTGGGGCCAAATATAGCATATTAATTCAAGATGGCGGACGAGTTTGCCGATTCGATTATATTAAGAACCAATTATTAAAAATATTCCTAATCGAATTCATCACTCAAGATTTGAGAATCTGTTGAGCCTATTCTTTTTGAATTATGTAGAAGAAGTAAAAAAGTAATTGTGTAGTGTTCAATCATACAAAAATAATTTTTTTGTATGTATGTAGGTAATAACTATAAATGTATGTGAGAGTTTTCGGAGTCGGAAGTTAAGAATTATTTACACCGTATGATAATTAATAGATTGTTTTGCTGTTTTCAGCTTTAACCCAAGCAAAAATTGACAATAAAATCACTGACAAGCCTGAACGCATTTTGACTATACCTTTATATATGTTTTCTGACAGAAAACAACTACTTCTTTAGCTAATAACTCGACATATATTGAAAAATGTACAATTGATATTGGAATCTATACAAGTGTAGATGTCTAATCCACCCGAAAAGTTGCTGCGTTGATTGAAACGCAGCAACTTTTCGATGAAACATGCCCTATTAGTCAGCAACTTCTTATATGCTGTAAATTTGACTATCAAAAATACCTTACGACTGTTAACTTTTCGAAATCTAAGTCTTCTCAGACGTAAGTGCAAATATTATCATTTTGGAGAAACAACTTTGCAAGAGCTCTCTAGGACAAATAGTGGGACTTCGCCTGATTCGAACAAGGAACCAACTGCGGACCGTTTTGAAGTGTTCCTCATCAGTGCAGACCATGCTATCACGGTTGTATACACACAGAGACTCGGTATTCCTCCTAGAGAGCTCTTGCAGAGTACCATGGTTCATGAATAACAAAACTCGTTGTTCATCTTGCATTTCTTCTTATTGAAATGAAAATATATTTTGTCACATCCGAATATGAACATCTGCCGATCCCATGAATTTTTAAAATCTACTTGAAACATAGTTCATCATTGTCCAAATCATCTGGGTCACTTGAATATTACACAAATGCAAAATTATCACTTGTACAATTTTCTCAGGTCCCCCACATGGTTTTCATCGACTGTACTTTTTTGAGCAGTTTATATGAACAGTTGTTATGTTGAGCAGTGTATAGACGCTTTGTTGCGTGCCTGTCTTGAACTCGTCGTTTGCGCAGACCTGAGACTGCAACTCCTGGGTCTGCGTGTAGAAAATTCGAACCAAAAATCACCCGAAGTGGGATTACTGTATATAGTATACTGTGGTAAGGTCTTCATTGGGATCTTCTGACCACAAACTCATTTCAGTGCTGATTGAATTACCAATAAATGTTGAGGAACAATCTAAGCCGCTCAAAGTTTGGCATTACAGATCATCTGAATGGGAGAATCTTCAAGACCATTTTCGAAATTTACCCTGGCTAGATGATTGTTTCAATTCTAAAGATCCATCTATTTGTGCTTCTATAGTCACGGAAGTTTTTCTATCATCCATGGTTGCATATATTCCATTTTCAATGAAACGGACTTTTAACGGCAAATCTTGGTTAAAAAAAAATTGCGAGCAAGCTGTCGCCTCCAAAAAACCGGACTTGGTGTGTCCGGTTTTTTGCAGGCAACAGCTGCAAACTTAGGATTAATGAAAGCAAAGAACTTCACAATCAGATAATTAGGAATAAACTGATTGTTAATCCTACTGGGTATAGATATTTTTGGTCGGTAGATGTCGGTAGTTGTTAATAAAAACTTTACAAAATTCACAAATCCACCACTAACAAGCGAATGGCTCAATTGCGAACGATTTACGTCCCACTCCACAGTCGATTTTCTGGAAAAGGCAACCTTCTGTCGTATGTCACCCATATTTGGAATAACGCAATCGAGAAGCAATTCACGTTGGATTTGAATCGCTGGTGATTAAATTCATTTGGAAAAAGTTGTCAGGAATTGTATTCCTCATAAACGCAGTTCTCCAAATGAAAGAGTTTTTGAACAATGAAGTTCGAGGTAAACTGAGATGAACCTCAAAACGATGAGCAGCCACAGTTCGTCGCGTATTTCTGATATGTACCGCGCTTGGTGGAATCAAATGCGCCAAGTCACTTGAACACCTCCTGTGGAAGTATCTATAGGATGTTCCAGACTATCAAGGTTCCAAGTGATGTTCGTGTCTCCAATCAGGCGGATGGCTCTTGTCTGGATGGAATCCAGAAGTTTCAGGGCATGCTCAGAGGCGGAGCTCCATGCATGAGAACAATCCTCCAAAGAAGGTCTGATCTGAGCTTTATAAAGCATCAAGAGTTGCTGAGGTGCGTACAGTTTTCTGGTTCGAAACAGCGTTTCAAGATTTTGAGAAGCATTTTTTGCAATTCCAGCGAAATGATTTTACCAAAACATAATTAGTGTACTACGAGAAATGTTGTTCTTCTTCGACAATTCTGATGTCGTGTCGGGATCTGTCTAACTTAATGCTGATATTTTAGCGGTAAAAGTTCTTGGTTTCAAGTATGTTTATTTATTTTATCGCGTGTTGTAAATTATCCAGTAACTTTGTCACCTGAAAGTATGGGATAGTGGTAGTATGCGTCAAATCTGGTAGTTCTGATTTTTTGCAGACTTGTTTGTGATGTTGGCCTAATGAATAATTCAAGTTTGTGACTCGGGCGCCGAACGCAACTTTGTCAAAAATCGAAAAACCGCGAAAAATCGGTTTTTTTCTCCAATTTTGCGATACTAACCATATAAAGGACTAGTTTTTGAAATCCGGTAGTTCTTATTTTTTGCAGACTTGTTTGTGATGTTGGTCCAATGAATAATCCATTTTTTTTTCGTTTCAGTTGTTGACTAACCGGCTGCCCATAACGTGAGTGCCGTTTGAACTCAAAATCTACAGCATGTCCCAGTCCCAGGCTGGGTTTCTGTTTTATAAGCAAGGAGAGTTTAAGTGGAGGTCAAGTGCGCCTAGTGAAGGGAAGAGGTGTAAAAACCCTTCTTGCGTCGAGTATTTCCCTTAAGCGTTTATTGAGGGGCGTAAATGAGACATATGTGCACAGGGCTTGTCAGATAAAATACAACAATCCGAAGTTGATCAAAGCAGCTGTTAGCAGTGAAAAATCAAATATTACGCCATCAAGGGCCACGCGATTAGTCTCTGAGCAGTTCAATTTCAGAGAACACACTCTTGTCTATGTGGAGACAAAATGACTGAAGAGTTCCTTGTGGCAGAAAGGAAGAAGAAGCCAGAAAAACTGAACAACGTCATTACTGCGGAAAATTGCAACAGTCTTGAAAGCAGCTGAGAAACGTGGTAATGAATGGGCTCTTAGAATAAAAGAGCGTATATCTGAGAACACAGATTTGGTAGCCCTTGATGCCAGATATCGGTTTTGTCAAACAAAGCTCTACCAGGCACCACCAACAGGAATGTCCAGGGGAAATCGTCAGCATCCCACAGTTGATAAGGTCATGAAAAAGATTTAATCATTTCTGGAAGAGAACGCTTAGAGGTGTCAGTTCTCTCTAGATGAACCCATAGACCAGATAGAAGGAGAACAACCTCAACTACGAACAGTCAAAATTCGCTTGTTTACAAAGTATGGGGAGGACATTTTGATTGTTGAGAGACCCTTCAAACACACGACTGTTTGTTTTAAAAACACAGGTCACAAATTCCCACCAG